ATAATCTTAAAACAATGAATATAATTTTGTCTTAGCTTCAAAAGATTTCTGACTTTGAATAATATAAAAAACAAAAATTTTAAAAAATCAAAATCCGAACAATTTTAGAGGGCTTCCAAGAAAAACACTTCTTGGATTCGACTAATTATTCTCAATACTTTCAATGACCCTACTATTTTTCATTTTACCATAAATACCTACTAACCACGTATCCATCTATGTTCTTTCTTGAGTAATTTCAAGATTTTTACAAGATACCTATGTAGGTATTGTTAAAATCTGTTTATAAGATAATCTTAAATTCTATAAGTCCTATAAATCATCAACAAAAAAAAATACAAATGTCGACGTATCCATATCAATTCTTTATCGTTATTTGTCATAAAACCTATATGAAGTTCACATCAAATCAAAAATTGACAAGACAATTTTATATTCAAAGGCAAGACACTTCGAAGAACTTTACAAACCGCTTACTTGATCTCCAAAAAAGTAAACACAACGATATCCAATTTAGTTGGAATCAGTTTAATCCAATGGGAAATGGTATGGGAGGAGCTAAAATAAGCAATCTGGCCAATGATTGGACCTGAGTTAACTACGCTGTCGATGCCATGGCAACCGTTTAGTTGGTGGCTAGTGTTCAGCTGACACTCGCTTGAGTTTGCAGAGTCAGATAACTGCTATTCGTTCTTCACCTCGTCAATTTATATGTTTCACGTATCCCTCAGAGCACTCTGAACTAACTTGCGGAACCGAAAAGTAAAACATGATCAATTAGTCGTTAATTGTTGAGTGATAGTGCTAATTAATACTTTATTATACGAGATGATTTATTGAATCTGTGATAGTTTTAGTATTAACAATCATGTCTGATCACGAGCTAACCGAAGATGACCACGAAATAAACGTGTTAGATACGGACTCTAGATTGTCTCATAGTGACAGTGAAGCGAGGAGCTCCAGAAGCCACTGCAGTAGTCCAGATAATGTCACTACTTCCCATCATGGTTCCTCGAATGCTTTACCCTTCAGTATTTCCAACTTGTTGGGCAAAAATTTCGAACAAAAATCCGAAAATGACTCGGGGTCGTTATACCAAAATCCGGCGGGAATTTTTCAACACCGCAGTGCTCTCGGATTGGTTCCGTCGGGTTTTTACGGACATGGTGTTCTTCGGGTACCTGCACATCGGCCTCTAGGGGGTCCTGGGAGTCCCCCAGGACCGATGTTCAATCCGTGGTCTCTTGGACTTGACCCAGTGTTGCAGAGATCTGCAGCAGCTGCAGCTTTCGCCACGCAAGTTGTTAAAGATAGATTGGCAGGTATGTGCATTTTTCATAGGTTTTTGATGTGATGACGACTTTATCATACAGGGTGGTCTTTCCGAGAAATGTGCTGAAGATAAGTACCTACAGTGAAAAATTTCGTGTGAGAATGACATCGGGAGTAATTCAGCTGAAATAGTTCCATGTCCGGTGCACCGATTTTGATGAGTGGGAGCAAAATTATTCTTATTGTTCAAACAATATTCATGATATTCGTACAAAGAATGGTGTTTTGCGTAGCTTTATATGAAATACTTCTTCTTATATAAATTAATTATAATGTACCTAATGATGGTTGAAGTTGTTTTTGATAGATGAATTGATGATGTAACTAAATTGTCTGAAAGAAATCGTATAGGTACCTATGAGATGTAGGTACCGTGAGATACATTTCAGTCGATCATTTATTTGAACAAGGTACCTCTGCGCGGGTTGCTTCATTTTGATTGATTTTAAGTAGGTGTTATCCTTTTCAATTTCAATAATATTTTTTTATCAATAGATAGTGTTTTATACTCATTTGAACAAAAATATTCTTTTTCTTTCCAACATCATCCATAGAGCAAATATAACAGTTCTTAAGGAAAAAATAAGTGCGATTTTTAACCCCGGGTCGGGGATGGTTGTATATGGAGCAAGAAGTCATAAAAGTAGGTAATTGAAAGTTATGAAAAACATTCAAATGATTATTTTCATTGAAAGTGGAATAATATACGCATATTGGTAATTATATCCAAAAAAGAAAAAAGTGTCTCATTTGTAGGAAAAAAACATATTTGCTCCGAATAAATAACTTCCTTCCAAAAATATCCATCAGGCCGCAATGCTTGTAAACTAAAAATACCCATCCTAGCGAAATTATACCTATTTAGTCAGTCTAAAATTCCGTGAATATTCGAAACCACAATTATGGAAGCTAAATTTTTGAATACCTATGTATCTTCTTAATTCTTTCTTCTATTTGTCGGTGAAGATTTGCCTATACCTTTGATGACCAATTTTTGTTGATGGTATTGATAACACCGTGTGAATTTTTTACAAAACCGTGTCAGAGTGCGATAATAATTAATCCCAAAATCAATTCTTTTGCAGCACGCAGTACCACTGCGTGTAATACCTACTAGTCGATCAGACTTTCTCATACAATGCCATAACATTTCTATGATTTTTTTCTAAAACGAACAAAATTGTATGTAGCAGAAGCTCAAAAAGCCAACAAAAAATGCAGCACACATATATGATGTTGGTTGTCACATGTGACTATCAGCCCCCATCAAGTTGAGACAACCAGCTCCAAAACACATTTCAAAATATAACCTGAAATAAAAACTCTGAATCGATATTCATTCATAAAATCGGATAGTGATATCGCATGAGCCACATATGCCACATCAAAAGTAAATTACAGTATAGATACTATTATACTCGACAAAAATGCACAACAATTTACATTTGTCGTCCGAAAAAAACAAATGTACCTCTACGTATCTCCTTCACGCAGTATGATATTGAACTGAAGTGACGTTAGGACAGAAAAACAATTGCTTTCGCGATCCTTCGATTTTGTTCGATAAACTCTTTCGTTCGTTCAATTTTTCAATATGGCCGCTGTGACAACCAACCCGTGAGACAACCATATCCGGTCTCCCCTAAGTGTTTTCGGAGACATATGCAAAATGACCAATCGCCAATCGAAATAATTTAATAATATGAACACAAGTTGAGTTAACAATATCAAAAATAAATAGTTATTGCTTTATTTTAGAATATTCATTTTAGAAATGCCGAGGTCGGGAACGGACAAGAGACTAATGAGTTAAATAAGTCTTTAGTCTTTTTTTAAACTTTACGATGGTGTATGATCGAAATTCGTAGGGTAGTTGATGATTTGTGTTTGATGATGACTAGAACTGAACTGTTCCTTGTAGTAAAGCTCTTAATGGTAGATAATGTTTTAAGCTTCTTCAGTAAGTAATCAGGTTGTCGAGTTATGAAAACTTTATGTGTGTTGGTAAGAAGGTGTAGAGTTCTAAGTTTCTTAACATTTAACCATCCTGATTCTTGCATTGCTGGGGATATATGGTCATATTTCCGAATATTTCCGAATATAAAATGCAATTCATAATTTCATTAAAAAGTACCTACTTTCTTTCTTCTTAGGTATTAGAAAAAGCGAATGAAATAGATATATACCACATACCTACATCACAGTAAATGCATGAGTGATGAAAGGATGAGTTGTTGTAGTGTTAATATCATTTCACCCATATAGTTGTATTCAGAGGGCATGCATGTTTTTTTCAACTAGCTAAATTATATATCTATTCCATCTTTCTAATTTCATATAAATATTAAAAATAAATTTGAAAAGGAATAATCAAAATCGAAGCTGTTTCTTAGTACCTATACTCCCGAAGAAAAGGCTCCGTTGAATCGAATAGATACTATTGGAATCGCATTTCATCTAACTTTTATATTAGTCTATCTCACATTGAAAATATTTGATTTGTTATATAGAAAATGACATTTGCAGTAACAATTTAGATTTATCTACTTCCACTTTTGGTATCTATACCTACCCACTGAGACTCAGAAATAAATTTCTCGGTAATACTTATATACTTTAAAGAAAAGAGAATTGCACCTTTCTATGTTTTTTACCACTTTTATTTGTAACTAACGTTAGATACTGCAATTTCCTCCTATAAGGACATTTTCAAACTTATACTTTGTTGTTTTCTATCTAGTGCTGTCTGCAACATTACGAAACATATAGAAAAAAGTCTTACTTGGATAAGTAGGTAATAGTCAGAAATTCTCAATTTTCAATACAGGGAGCCATATGCCACCCCCATTATTTTATTACTACTCTATCACAATTGATATTGTGAGAAATGATAACTTTCATTTACAATCTATAAAGGGTACGTATCAACAAAAGGGTTATTTTTTTACCTACACTTCTGCGAAAAAAATCTAAAATAATGATAATATCTTTCAACATTTTCCAATAACTTAATGCTCACACCTCTTTTATTATAGGAGAAAATAGTACGTGGATATATTGAATATATTGAAGTAGCTCTTTTAGACAATTCCCACTTGCTACGAGAAGGATTTTTGTCAGTAGGTACCTACAGTGGTGTCACTCCTCACAATAGGGAAATCATTGTTTAATGTTCTAACAAGACCGTTCGATCGCTTCATCTTTTAAGTAATGAGCAGTTTTATGGCCACACCACTTTTCCGATCTAGTACCTACATTTTGAAATGTTTAAACGTAAACGGATAAACGTAAAATACTAAATGAAAAAATCTCTTAAACGAAACCTATGCAATGTAGGTATAGAGAACGCGAATGAAAGTTTTTGATTGAAAATAATTTTCTTGAATAAGTTCGGTAATGTTTTTCAGAATGTTTAGAAAGTTACTTTGCTATTCTAGGCGGAGACATATCTAACAAATTGAAAATCATGACATATAGGTCCTGACGTTTTTGAGTTATGAATGGTATAACTAACACGACCTAGATTATTTATTGATATACAAAGATAACAGTGAAATCATCTCGAATAAATCCTACCTACTATATGATAGGAAAATGGTTGAAATTGATTTCATGATTGGAAGTATTGCTATAGGTCTAATATATTCTAGATGTCCTACAATGAGTGACAAAATTCTTTTCCCACCCTTTATTGATCGAGAAAAAGTATTTTCATGATAATTGATGAACCTTTTAACCAATTATCAAGTATCTGAATAGATGTATAGCCACCAAATAAACCCAGCTTCTTAACGAAGTCGATTAGTTTGTATGGTGAGTGATCTTTCAGGTCAGATGGTATGAGAGTACGGCTCTGCCTAACTCTAAAAACCTAATTCGGTCCCCAGCGGGACAGGCACAAAGTATGTGCTCTGCTGTTTCATCATTTTTCAAACGGAGGTGACACAGACTGTCTTCCGACAGTCCGAATCTCTGCATATGATTATTTAAATGACAGTGACCTGAGAGGAGGCCTGTTAGACATCGTTATACCAACAACTGTTATAAAGCTTCAAAGGGTGAATAAACGCCTTGGAGCGAGCCAATCCTGGAAGATTCTGCCATCCAGGTGTTCAATGTTTGTTTGGCAAAGCTTGAAGCGATGTCATTGGCAGGTTCTGGTCCGATGAAGCTTCTTGCATCAGCCTCCTTTGCAACGGAGTCAGCAGCTCATACAAATTTAGCATTGCGAAAAGTCAATTCAATTGTTATCTGTTAGAAATTACTATGTGTAATTTTTTTTAGTTATATCATCTCAATGAAAATTTTTATTTGGATCGATTTCCAATATATTTCTAAATACTGAATGAGGTAAGTATGGTTATGTTGACAACTTGGATTAAGACAAGTGAAGTTAACTTGGAATATGTCAAACTATATGCACAATACTAAAGCTATATATATACCTAACTATAGCTAGACTACTACAAGAGTTAATTTTTTGTTACAAAACTTAATATACTTAACTACCACACTTTCAGAGAGAGCTTTGAAAGCAATACTATCCTAAGAAAAGTTGGTCATAAGCCAGCATTTGAGGAATATTTCAATAAGATGCTGGTAAGATACCCCCTTATTATCAAAGAAAAATGTTATGACTTGAACCAACCGGAAATGTATAAACTAGAATATCAACCTGCTGTTGAGAAAAATGTGACCCATACATTTCATAATAAAAGGGCTAGCAGGTGAAGGGATTTATCTCAAGGCACAATCACATCAATGCGAAAACCTCTACCGGCACATCTTTTGCTAGAGTAAATGATGGATGGGTTTTATGATACTCTGAAGAAATGTATAGGAACATTGGCTTTCACTGCCGGAGTGATGATTAGAAAGAACTTCGGAGAAAACAAAATCCGGGCTATTAGGCCGTGGTTGACAGAAACTTAAGAGGAACATCTTCAGTGGTGTATTCCTTGACGTCGAGATTATATTTTATGTATATTAA